AACAGAGGGAGAATAAACCATGAGCAGCAGCAGAACTTTCTAAAAATCCTTTTAACTTATTTCTCCTCAAAGCATCACATTTCAAGGAGCTTCAAATTCTCCCTGAAAAACTCCAGCCAGTCTTGCTAGTTTCCTTGCCATCCCTCTCCTTTGTGGAGAGGAGGTTTTAGGAGCTTGGCCATATTTTTATCCTATTCCTTGCTAATTCCATGTAGTTTCTTATATGTGGTGACACAAAATATAACAACAAAAGGCCAGCTGCTGATCAACAATAGAGCCTTCCTCTCTGGTAAGGAGATGGGAGTTGGTAAATTCTTTTAAAAAAACATTAGCCCCAGTTATCATTATCTAATGAAGCAAACAAGTAAAAGTAAACAAGTTTCATGATGTTAAGCAGCTCAAATTCAGACAAAATATTTCCTTTCCAAAAAGATGCCATATATTGCAAAGGTTTAATGGAGAAATGTAAACCAGCAGGAACGTTTTATAGAGATCATAGCAGGTGCATTATTAGACTGTTCAGCATCTAACATAGATTCTCTGTAGACACTAATGTCAAAAACGGTTTACAAAAACCTGTTACCAAAAAATTTGTTAGAAGTGATTGAGCTCATAAGTATTTCCATTTTTACAGAGCTCTCATTAACTCTGCTATACAAATTCAAACAGAATTTTACAGAATTAAAGAAGGTATAATATAAAATTACTCAGATTGCTATTTCCTATGGAGCCATCAATAGGAACTGCTTTCTCCTTTGGGTTTTTCTAGGGACATGCAGACTATAAAAGGTAGGGGAGATGGATAACATTATCAAGTAACTGAGAGCATTAAAACAGAGAAGACACTGCTGCATTTACAGATTAAAACAGTGTTTATGTATATAACAATCTTAGCCATTTACTTATGTGATGGCTCCAGCATATACTGGAGTCAAAGGAAGACAGGAGTTTTGGAGTGGCTGACCGTGAGGAGGCAGACAGCAGGACACGGGTGTCCCCCACTTTTCGGAAGTTTGCTTTACACCACTACTTTTACAAGAAAAGGTAAAAAGCACAAATAGTGTTCAACATGTGTTTTGCAGTGAGCCCTTAGAGAAACAGCACACACCCCGAGCAGGGAGAGTGGCACCATCAAGCTCCTCACAGGGAACAACACTAAGCATCTCAGCATTAAGCCACCAGAGCTTTGAACTGTGTCGATGAGCATCTGTGCTTTACCTCAGTTTATTTTATGCATCTGTTAGCAAGATGTGCCCTAAGGTAATTGCTTCTTTGCTTTATACCCTTTCACAGGAATAGTTTTCACAGGATTGGCGCTACTTTTGGACAGTGGGGGAAACCTGTACTCTATTTTTCAAAATCTTTCAAAAAGGCAAGTGAAAGAAATGATAGAAATGTGAAGAGCTAACATGATCAAAAATGTTGTTTTTATTTACACCAAAAATAAGAAAGGAGTTGGAAAAGTCATTCAAGGTAAAACAGAATATATAACTGATGATGCAAAAAGAATGAAATAAGAAAAGAAATAACTGGAAAGGGAGAAAGGGAAAATGCAAAGAAAACAAGTTATCAAAAGCATCAAGTAAAAGATTGACTCTAATAATCGCCTCAGGGGTCATATGAAGCCATCAATGCTACTCATATTCTGAAGTGGCCAAATAGTCATAGCAAAGTGACTTACCCGCTCTTCGGCTTCTGTCAGTACATTCATAGCTCTCATATTGACATTTCTTCCTAGTTTCTCCTTCATTTCTTGCAACTTCTGAAGTCTCTGACCAGCTTCTTTTGGGTTGTTAGTTTTGAAATCATAGGTGCTATTGGGTTGCCCAAAGAGGTGTTTCTCTGCATTAATCCAGTCATAATCTTTCAACATTTTGGACACCTAGCCACATGTGATAATGATAATAGAATGATATCATTGCTTACAAACCTTTATTTAAAAATTAGTTTCTTAAATATTTACTAATTTTAAACCACACATTTTGGGAAAAAAATCCCACAATGACACATTTGGAAAAAATGAGATTCACTGTTGACAGTGGACCTATAATAAGTAAGAATATTTTTACCTGGAGGATAGGTAAGAAACTTGAGACTATATAGACAAAGATTTTCCTATTACTCAAGCATGAGAGTAAGAGCCAACTCAAGAGAAACAGTTACAAAGTGTGTGTGTGTGTGTGTGTGTGTGTGTATGCACACACATATATAGAACATCTCCATTATAATGAAATACAAGTCAGATGAGGCTCCAGATTTTACCAAATTCAATCAATTGCTTCAAAAAAACAGCTTGTGAAAGTTAAAAGTCTTATAAGAATACTTAAGTCACAGAGTTGGTAAAATCATGGAAGCCTAATCCTGAGTGATATCTAATAATTCTTCTGGAAATTATAATCTAAGTAAAAAACTGTCCTGAATATTGACTCTATCCCCTTGCCACCCTCTTTTGACAAGGCACAGTAAAATACTTCTTCATATAATATAACCAATTAAAGTTTTTTAATTATAGTGCTTAAGGAAGACTTTCTTCTACTAGAATTGTTCAAGGTTGGTTCTGACTGGTAGAATCTAATCCTCTTCAATCATCCTTATTAGTTCCATAGGTACAGTCTCACCACTAGAATCCAAAGTAAAATAATCATTTCTTTCCTGCTGATCTGTAAGCTCTATGAACACATTCTGTGTTCATTCTTATATCTTTAGTGCCTGGCATAGTATGCAATAAATATTTGACAAACTATGTATTTCAAAGAATCCTTGACTTTTTAGCAGTTCCACTTACAAGTCCTTCTTTCTACCCGCTTCCCTAACTGTAAATAAAATCCCCTAGCAATCATCAATACTAGCATTTTCAATTATAAAAAAACCATTAACAGTAATATTAGCATTGGTAATAATTCAGTGAATCCACTAATAGGAGGCTACTAGGAAAGCAATACTAATAAAATACTAGGATATTATGACGTGGCCATAAAAAAATGTTTTTTAAACCAAGTAATGAACCTGAACAGATACTCATGGCTCTTTCAGAAAGGGTGGAAAACTGTTTTGTATGTTAAATCTCTTGTATTTTTATGATGTTAAAAAGATTTAAAAGGCACCAAACTGTTACACACCAGTAAGAAAACATGCTGAGTGAATTACTAAGACCACATAAATGCAATCTCTTAACTAAACAACGAATTTCTACAAAACCATGTATTTTCTCTAAAGTACTTAAGGCACTGTGACACATGAAAGAAAGAAACTTCAAGAGTAACCAAAAAACTGTGGGATAACTTCAAAAAGATAACTGCTTGGCAAAACATCAGATTTCAAATGCAGCTGCTAAAACTGACTATAACCGATCCTCATAAGGACATCCAGAAACCATTTAAGACGTTATTTTAGAAGTTGCCTGTGTATATTTCTCTGTGAGCTCCCTAAATTCAATTTGCAATAAGGTAAAGAACACATATTATTACTACTAACACATTAATAACTAGTTCTATGAGCAACTGGGGATAAAAACCAGTCATTTCCATAGGAGACCACTCAATATTTGGTTAAAAACATCTTGGAGATGGAATAAACTCCTGAAATTAAATTTAAAAATAAAACATTTTTGCCTCTTGGTGATTGCTGAGGAGCAGTTAACATAGTTGTAAGCCTCAAAGTTATGTTACACAGTAGTTCTGCCATTTATAGTAAGGTCTTCATTGAGCAGTTTACCAGAATATTTCAACACAGAGGCAAAAATTTGATCAAGGGTAAAAACGAACAACACAAACGTGCCTTTGCAGCAGCATCTTCAGCTTCCCGTTTATGTTTGCTGATGTTGTGGTCCAGTTCCTTAATTTTAAGCTGAGATTCATTGTTTTGCTCCTTATGTTTTGCTACTTCTGCATATTTAGCTTTAACTATGCTGTCTTGGGCTGTTATCACTTCTTTTTGCTTGGTCACCTCTTCTTGAGCTTTATTTACTAACTCCTGAAACAGATCATTAGAAGACAACATATAGCAAGGTAAGATGGAGACATTTTTAGTTTACTGAAAGATCATCTAACAGACTTCTGGGCAAGATGGCAATGTGATTACAGACAGGTAGTCATCTAACCCTCTACATTTTATATCCCCATTAAAATGACTAATGAATTTACAGATAAGTGAAAACTTGTATTACCACTAGAAAAAAAAAAAAAGGATGGGATGTACTGTTCATGCTGAAAGCAACAATGTTTCTGCAAGATACAGTGTAACTGGGATCACCTTGGGGAGGAGGGACTACTGGAATCTGACCTGTGAGGTCTCTCAAAAAAGTGGCATTTTGGGGAGTTTACAAGATAATATGACAGACTCCCAAATGACATTTATTAGGAGGGGCAAAGAACAGGGGTGGAAGCAGGTAAGCTGGCATTTGTTCCTTTCCCTTCTATAGAGGTAAGCCATAGGGACTTTACCAGTGGCAGTAGAAAGTCAGTGTTTGGTTCTAGCAGAGGGATCAAAACGGAGATATGGAAGAGGAAGAGAAACTTTTTTGAAGAAATGGATCTGTGGCACAAAGAAAAACTTCTTGCTTTGACTTTTACTATCCCCTACCTCCCGAGATTGAAGTTATTCAACCTCCAAAGTGATAATTACAGCTGGGATTTAGTCTATCAACTCTCACCTCCTCCCCCTCAAACCTCTTTGCTAGATCTTAAAAGTCCTTCTGGTAAAAAGATATGGTCACAGACTTACACAAATGTCTGAAAACAAAAAAACCTAGCTCAACTCAGATTTAGGTAGAGGGAAAACAGATAAGTAGAACAACCTGCTAAAAGACTGAGGAAGAATAGATCTCTGTAAGTGATGAAAAGCACCAGTAAAAATTTAGGAATTTTTTAGGCATGCTCATTAGAAAACAAGATCATTTTGAGCAGTAAACAATACTTGACATTATGGTTAGGTTATGAATGTGCCATAAATGCTTTAATTTCCTTATAATGTTTTATAATGTTTAATTTGTCTCACTTAAGGTCCTTTGCAGGAGGAAGATAAATCACAGCATTCAGCTAAAAAACCCATAACAAAAACCCATGACAAAATCGTGTTTATGAAGATTTCCTCATGCCTAGAGGTTGAAGATTGCATCGCAGGTATGACTGTTTCAATCTTTACAATGGTAAGAAAAAAACAAGGAAATCTATCACTTAAGATTGAGCAAAAATAAAATTTTACTTTTGTTTGAACCTGATTAGTTAGTAGGCAATTTCTCTTCTTAGCTCCCTGAGAGTGTCCTTAGTTACTATTATCAGCAAATGGAAACAATTTAGAACGTAAAGCCTGAAAAAACAACCTTTACAAACTAAGTGATCCACTTTATAGTTTTCCATAAAGAGAAATGGATGCCCTCTTTATAGAAATATGTACGTTTTGATTTTATCTTTATTTAGATTAAGGAAGAAGTGGCTTATTTTACTTCCACATTTCTCTTTAGAAACATGACATCTAATTTTTTAAAATTCCACATGATGTCCATGAAAGATGGTAGAAAATATGGAGGAATGAGATGAAAAATGAGATTAAAAGACAAGTCAGAAGGCAGAAAAGAAACTGTAGAAAATGTAATCAGAAACACAAAGCTGAAAAGCATTTCTATCCCTTATCTTCAAAAAGAATAAAGAATTGTTATTCTGCTATTGGTTTGATAAATAATGTGTTAAAAAAAAAACAACTTGAATTTAACCACAAACAGAATGAAGAGGAAGGAACTACTTTCTAAAACACTGCATGCTACAACAATTAAAACAATCATCTCAAGGGAAAAACAACAGAAAATGTAAAAGCTGATGACAAAAGGCAAAAGCACACTTTACTATAATGTACGTAAAATGGATGGAACTCCCCTGTTAAAAGCTGTTATATTTTAGTTAACATGAAGATCAATGATATATTACTTACAAAAAGAGTATCTATATAGCCACACAGCAGAAAACTTAAAAATGAAAGTTATATTGAAAAAACAAAAGTGGGTACACTTTGTAAAGCATAGTGACAATATTTAATAACACTACTGTATATTTGAAAGTTGCTAAGAGTACATCTTGAAGTTCTCATCACAAGAAAAAAAATTCTGTAATTATGTATGGTTACTAGACTTATTGTGGTGATAGTTTCACAATGTATGCAAATTGAATCATTACGTTGTACACAGGAAACTAATATAAATGTTATGCTAATTATATCTCAGTTTTAAAAAGTAGGAGTAGAAATAATACGAAATAAAACAGAATTCAAGTTCAGAATTTAAAAACAGGGTTAAGAGGGTATCCAATATTCATGAGGGACCATTTCTAATATTTGTAGATAATAGAAATGTCTTCATAACATTTGAAAGCCCCTCAGTCCCAAATCCACCCTTTACTTCCTGCTTCTGAGATGGGGACATTTCTCCCTTGCCAGGTGCAACAGTATGAAGCCTCATCAGTAAAGGATGCTATAGGGTCACTGTAGAAGGAAGGGGCTTTACTTCTTTGGTCCAATGTGCTTTTCTCAAAGGCAAGCTTGTCATGTGCAGGGGCTAGCAGCTTTCATGGCTTCCCCTGGCATCCCAGCAAGTCCGCAGGCTGGGCACCTCTCCATGGCACCCTGGAAAGCTATTTCCCAGCAAGTGCCCCTGTGTAGCACTTTCCTATGCATGATTTCCCCTAGTACTCCACCAAACTCCACCACCAGTGGGCCACAGTTATCTTCTACAAGTAGATGTGGTTCTCAGCCCTGCAGGTAAAATGGGGCTCCTTTCCAGATTTGTTTCTTCCAAGGGTGCACTGCCTCAGCCTTATAGGTAACGCTGTTCCCTGTATCTGCTGTTCGTATAGTCTTTAGAGTTTTCTTTATCTCTTAGCAATCAATGCTGCATCATTACAAACTCCTGTTATAGTTAATAATTTTTATTTAAACTTTGCCTGGTGAAATTACTGTGTAGTTTTTGTCTTCTGAATAGACCTGGACCAAAACAGTTAGTAATATTATTTCAGGTCTCTTTCTGGATTGGTACTCATAATTTTAACTCATCATGACAGGAGTGAAGAGACCATAAAGTCTCTAAAGACCTCTAAAGTCAAACATCTTCAAGCCACCATTTCAGAATTAGATTAACATTTGTAATTTCTCTAATATGGTTAGTAAATCTTACCTTATTTTTAGCCACCTCAGCTGCCATTACTGCAATCTGACCTTCATAGGATTTGATAGCTTCATTTACAGCTTCAAGCTGTTGTTCATTGGATGCATGCTCTCTCTTGAGCTCTTCTAGCTCCAGGGTGATGGCTTCAACTTCCTATAAGAAACACAGCATCTGGGCATTCAACAGCTTATTAACTACTGAAAAATAAATACATGCATGTCAACAAAATTAGTAAGATTCTCAAGCAAGTAAGACCCATAGCTTAGTTACTCAACTACCAAAACATGTAAGCTACTTCTAAAGAAGAAAGGGGAAAGGAAATTTATTTTTCTATATTAAAAAAAAAAGACAAATGTACATACAATTTTTAAGGCTTCAAAGAACTCTGTATAAACTATATCCTTTATCCTTTTATTCCTATAGGGATAAACGATATACAGTTCTACACAGCAGATAAATTAACAGAGGTAAAGCCTTTTTAAACAATTATTCAGTGACAAAAAAATTAGTTTCTTAATTTTCTTCTTTCCCATTATAGCCTTTAGTTCTTTAGAAAATACTGTGCAAGCTATGAAAGAATCATAAGGTGGGTTAAAAAAAACAAACAAAAAAAAACTATGAACAAAAGTTAGACTTAAGTGAAATTGTACAGAATAGTGATTGAGCACAGCCTCTGCAGACAGAAAAACGCAGGTCAAATTCCAGCCTTGGCACTATCCAAAAGATATAATCAGATATCACCAGTCTATGATCGAATAGCACTTTGTAAATATAACATGCCTGGTCTTACATCATTCTTTCACAGTTTATGTATGTTCACGAAAATGATCAAACAGAAATGTCAACAGTGAATCTCTGATACGACACAGCTCTGCGTACATGATATGAGCTTTGGTCCACTCTTGAAAGAAACATTTACCAAAAGGCAACTTTGCTCTTTCTCCAAAATTAGCAAGCCAATGCAACCCCTACTCAAAATTACATAACACTTAATTCCAGGGTTTCAGAGTAAAGCATATTTTAATTTGACTCATAAGATGTGCAATGTGTCTCCTAAAGAAGTACATCTCACTTTTGGATTTTGTGATAAATACTGATGAATAAGGCCAAGGCCAACCAATGGTGCTCTACCACCTTCAGTTCTATTCTGATGTTCAAAGATTAGTTCCATTTCAAAACAAAGTTATTACCTGTTGTTTTTCTTTCATTTTCTTGGTAGAAGCATCTGCTTTAGTTTTGGCACAATCTAGTTTTTTCTGTGCATCCTTCAGTTCTCTCTCTCTCTCAGCTTCTGCGTTTTTCATTTTATTCTCCAATACTTCGTATTTTTCTTCTGCTTTTTTTTGAATTTCTTTGGTGTTTTTTAAGGTCTCCTCACTTTCCTCTGCATCATAAAGCAGGTAAATATGCCTATGTGAGGTCTTCCAACAACTATTAACAGGTATAGATATTAATGGCTTACAAATTCAACTTTTAATAGAAGAAAAGGTATGGAAAGTTGGAGCCAAGAGTTTTAAAAAAATCAACTGTTCTAACCTTATTCTAGAAATGGTATATTGAAACACAGATCATGCCTAAGAGCCATACTTGAATTATCTAATGATCTGTAAAGAAATTACTTCCAATCACATGAAATTGAGTAACATAAACTTTACCTACAACTTAACTTATAAAAAGATCACAGACCATCTTTTTTGGGCTTCCCTGGTGGCGCAGTGGTTGGGAATCTGCCTGCTAATGCAGGAATCTGCCTGCTAATGCAGGGGACACGGGTTCGAGGCCTGGTCTGGGAAGATCCCACATGCCGTGGAGCAACTGGGCCTGTGAGACACAACTATTGAGCCTGCGCGTCTGGAGCCTGTGCTCCACAACAAGAGAGGCCGCGATAGTGAGAGGCCTGCGCACCGTGATGAAGAGTGGCCCCAGCTTGCCACAAGTAGAGAAAGCCCTTGAACAGAAATGAAGACCCAACACAGCAAAAATAAATAAAATAAATTAATAAACTCCTACCCCCAACATCTAAAAAAATATATATATATCACAGACCATCTTTTAGACCATCTTCTTTTTATATGACTGTATACTTCCTAACATCAGAACTGAGTGTGTAACTATGGTGTTTTCTTTTTATTTTAGTTATAAGAAAGCTTACAATTTACTTATAAGCAAGCTTACTTAGTGTTCCTTGCTCCTTTATTTTTATTCAAGGAATCTTTTATTAAAGTAGAGAAGCACTGTGAGAACATGTCTAGGATGAAGCATAGGAAACATATTACCTCTAAATTTATAAATTTAAAAATAAAAAAGTAAGATAGAATGAGCATGTGATGGTCAAAACTGACATATACTGTTAAGCATTAGGACCTAGGTACAAATATAACCCTAAAAGCCATGATTAGACAATTTCCTATACTACTTTTCATTGTAGAAATGTCATTCCAAGAAATCAAAAGAGAAATAAAAAAATACTTTGTCACAAATGAAAATGGAAATACAACATACCAAAACTTACATCATATGTAGCAAAATCAGTTCTAGCTATGAGTGAAGTTCATAGCAAAGTTCATAGCAATAAATGCCTACCTCAAGAAACAAGAAAAATCTCAAACAGTTTTATACCAAAAATCTGTTGTATTTCTATATACTAAATAATCCCATTTACAACTGCATCAAAAAGAAGAACAAACAAAGCCTAAAGTTAGTAGAAGGAAGAAAATAACAAAGATCAGTGTGGAAATAAATGAAATTGAGACTAAAAAGAAATAGAAAAAAAAATTAATGAAACTGAGAGCTGGTTCTTTAAAACTGCCAAACTTTTAGCTAGCCCTAAGGAAAAAAAGAGACTCAAAGTCAGAAATAAAAGATGAGATGTTACAACTGATACCACAGAAATATAAAGAATCATAAAAGGTTACTATTAACAATTTTACACCAACAAACCAGACAACCTAGAAAAAATAAATTACTAGAAAATACAACCTATCAAGATTGAATCATGATGAAACAAAATCTGAAAAGAGATTATTAAGAGATTTAGTAAGTAATCAAAAACCTCCCAACAAACAAAAGTCCAGGACTAGACGGCTTTACTGGTGAATTCTAAGAAACATTCAAAGAAGAATTAATACCAATCCTTCCTTCTCAAATTCTTCCAAAAAGTAGACAAGGAAGAAATTGTTCCAAACTCATTTTGTGAGGCCAACATCATCCTGATATCAAAACCAGACAAGGGGGCTTCCCTGGTGGTGCAGTGGTTGGGAGTCCGCCTGCTGATGCAGGGGACACGGGTTTGTGCCCCGGTCCGGGAAGATCCCACATGCTGCAGAGCGGCTGGGCCCGTGAGCCATGGCCACTGAGCCTGTGGGTCCGGAGCCTGTGCTCCGCAATGGGAGAGGCTGCAACAGTGAGAGGCCCGCATACCACAAAAAAAAAACCACAACAGACAAGGACGCCACAAGAAAAGAAAATTACAGGCTATTATTCCTGATGAACACAAATGCAAAAATTCTCAACAACCTTAGCAAACTGAATTCAACAATACATTAAAAGGATCATACACCATGACCAAGTAGGATTTATTCCAGGGATACAAGTATGGTTCAACATCTGCAAATCAGTCAATGTGATACATAACATTAACAAATGAAGGATAAAGTCATGGTCATCTGAAGAGTAGAAAAAGCATCTGAGAAAATTCAACATCTATTTATGATAAAAACTCACAATAAAGTGAGTACAGAGAGAACATACCTTAACATGATAAAGGCTATACATGACAAGCTCACAGCTAACATCACACTCAATGGTAAAAAGCTGAAGGCTTTTCCTCTAAGATCAGGAAGAAGATAAGGATCCTTGCCTACTCTCCACTTTCATTTGACATAGTGTTGGAAGTCCTATAGCAATTGGGAAAGAAAAAAAATGCATCTAAACTGGAAAGGAAGAAGTAAAACTGTCACTATTTGCAGATGACGTATTATAAATAGAAAACCCTAAAGACTCCATCAAAAAACTGTTAGAAATAATAAGCAAATTCAGCAAAGTTGTAGTATAAAAAATCTGTTGTGTTTCTATACAATCCCATTTACAACTGCATCAAACAGAAAATACCTAAAAATAAATTTAACTAAGGAGGTGAAGGACATGTACACTGAAAACTAGGAAACACTGATGAAAGAAGTTGAAGACAGAAATAAATGGAAAGATATTCTGTGCTCACGGATTAGAAGAATATTGTTAAAATGTCCATACTACCCAAAGCAATCTACAGATTCAAGTCAATTCCTGTCAAAATTTCAATGGCATTTTCCACAGAAATAGAATAAACAATCCTAAAATTTGTATGGAACCACAAAAGACCCTAAACAGCCAAAGCAATCTTGAAAAAGAAGAACAAAGCTGGAGGAATCATACTCCCTGTTTTCAAACTTTATTACAAAGCTAGAGTAATCAAAACAGTATAATATTGATATTAAAAACAGACAGATCAATGGAACTACTGAATAGAGAACCCAAAAATAAACCAACACATACATGGTCGATTAATTTATGACAGAGGAGTCAAGAATATACAATGGGGAAAAGACAGTCTCTTTTATAAATGGTGGAAGGAAACTGGACTTGCAAAAGAATGAAACTGGACCACTAAGACCATACATAAAAATTAACTCAAAATGGATTAAAGACTTGAACATAAGACCTGAAACCACGAAAATCCTAGAAGAAAACACAGGTGGTAAGCTCCTTGACATAGGTTTTGATGATTTTTTTTGGATTTGACACCAAAAGCAAAAATGAACAAGTGGGACTACATATCAAACTAAAAAGCCTCTGCACAGCAAAGGAAACCATCAACAAAATTAAAAGGCAAACTACCGAATAGGAGAAAATATTTGTAAATTATATATCTGATAACGGGTTAATATCTAAAATATACTAACTCATACAACTCAATAGAAAAAAACAACCAAATCCAAAAATAGGCAGAGGACCTGAATACACATTTTCCACAGAAGACATACAGACGGTCAACAGGTACATGAAAAGATGTTCAACACTAATCACCAGGGAAATGCTAATCAAAACCACAATGAGAAATCACTTTGACCATTAGAATGGCTATTATCAAAAAGACAAGAAGGGCTTCCCTGGTGGCGCAGTGGTTGAGAGTCCACCTGCCGATGCAGGGGACACGGGTTTGTGCCCAGGTCTGGGAAGATCCCACATGCCGCGGAGCGGCTTGGCCCGTGAGCCATGGCCGCTGAGCCTGTGCGTCTGGAGCCTGTGCTCCGCAACGGGAGAGGCCACAACAGTGAGAGGCCCGCGTACCGCAAAAAAAAAAAAAAAAAAAAAAAAAAAAAAAAGGGCAAATTAATAGAAAATTATTAAAGTATTTAAATTGAAAAATGTTTTTAAATTAAAATATTTAAAGTAATTAATGCAGGTAAATATATAATAAACACAAAAG